ACATTTTGATTAAACTGATTAAATAAAAGTTACTTTTTTATTAAAATTGCCCATTTCAGTCACTAAATAATCATAATTTCATCATTTCTTCAACTATTAGAAAATATGATTGACTTATTGTATTCTATAAACCATTTCCTGCTATCTTTTTTTTGGTCAAACCAACAAATTATAGGCTACAATGGCAAATATTAAACGTAAACATTGGTTGCTCCCTTGAACTGATTTCTGTCCATCAGATTTAAGACTTAAAAAAAAAAAAACTGTACTCCAAGGAATATGTACAAGTCTTGAGAATGACAGGAAACATTTAAATGAAGAAAAAAACTGCATGTTAAAAAGGATATATTTATCATTAAATCTGGCGTAAACTATCTTTTCTTTGGTGTGCAGTCACCCAGCACTCAAGGGAAAGGTCTACGCATGACGCATTTCCAAACCAAAATAAACCAAATGCATGAACAAACTTGATTTAACTGTTGGCAGACCTGTCATATTTTTAGCAATAGTAAATAAATACCTGCTGTGCCTGTGCCAAAAAATGTGGAGTTAAACCTTGAGGAAGACAATCCCCTTCTCTTTGCAGACACGAGAAAAAGAAGACTTGTAAACAAACGCTGCCTACAGGGAATACTGTCAGGAGCTCGGAGAAGGAAACACACCTTATCCCCTTCCTCTGGATCAAAGACACAAACGTCCAACATGAAGAGGAAGAAATATCTCCCTTTGAAAGTGATCTTGTGAGCAAAAGGTACTTGATGCAATAATCATAAACCTCTGTGCTTTTTCTTCTTGCTGTATTACAGTTAGACGTTAAACTGTGAAAAGATAAATCCAAAAATTTAAGTCAAGTGACCAAAGAATAAAGAAATATTTAAATCTAAAAACAAAAAGTCGAAAAGACAAAATTATCTGTGCAAATACTAGTGACGCGGGCGAAGAAGGAAAGGTGTTATTGAGGGAAATCGTGCAAGCTTCAGTGTTCAGACACTATACTCTTCAGCTACTAAGTGGAAAAATCTGCTTGAGGAAAGTGAATGAATATAACCTGTTAAGGAGCCTTAGGGAAAGGCTGTAAACTATGTCTGCGCCAGGCTGGATGTGAGGCATCGCTGGAAAGATCCTCAGTCGACCACAAGTGTCCCCTGAGTGTTGTCAAATATAGGATAACAAGCGAGGATGTGGCAGTTTGCCTCCAGTCGCTGAACAGCTCACGAAAGGTGTCATGGGCTGAAAAATGCCTCGGTGTACCGGTGTACCACAGAGACGAGCTCCACAGTTGTGTATATGGGTGTCAGCTGGCCCCCAAATAAGAAAAAAAATGGTGTTACCATTTTTTAGCTCTTTAACCAATCAAATTAAACCAAACTGAATAAGAAAACAGTGTCGCCTCTACACCTGTGAAAGTCATGGCTGTATAAAAGGCGAAGAAACTCATTTTATGTTAACAAGTGGCAACTTTGTGGGGCCGAAAAACGAAGCAAGGCAATCACCAAACACTCCGATTTTACAATGTTTAACTTTAGAGCAGGACAAAACATGTTTACGGCCCTCTACAAAAAAAATTAGCTTTGACCTGTATGCATTGAGCCCTCCTTCATAACTACTCTACTGTGAGTGAATTTTTTTTAATCCATTCTCATCCATTTGGATGCTAGCAAGGTTGTATCAGCAGAGCAAGCCATAGCCAACCAGCATCTGCAGGAGAGTGATCTCACAAAAAACTCTTCTGTGAGGTACAAGTCACCAAGAAGTCTGAGCGTCAGTTTTGGTGAGTACTCAGTCATCTTGTTAGACTGTCTACCAAAAATACTCACTACACAAATTCTACTCACACTACATTTAAATTAAACCCATCTGCCACATTCTAGCAGACCTGCAAAGTGTATTTACTTTCTGCACAGACAACCAGACCAGTTAAATGCTCGGCAAATGATCTTGCTCTCTTAGCTGCTGTTCAGTCGAGCCATTTGTGCCGCTTTTTCAATGTGTATGGAAATCATTTGGCAAAGTTGGAAAAATATTTATAAATCTGATCTTCCCAAATCCTAACTCATAAGCAAAGCATCTTAAAACAAACCCTTCTTTCAGACTCTGCTAAACCCAAACACAAGCTATGAAATGGTACGAAGGTATTCGGTTGCATTCAAACCACACATCTAAATATTGTCAATAACATGGCGACAATGACTTTGAGGCTTCAAATGCAGGGTGGGTGTAGTCATTGTGGCCACAACCAGCTTTCACATACAGTCTATGGCTGTCACACAGATCTTAGCATACAAGTCAGCTTGATGTTTTTGTAAAGGACTTCACAAACTGAATCATGGAGGAATGTTTTTTCATGTCATGACATGTTGTCACAGGTTAAGGATTAGGAGGATTAGCACTGCAATCAAGTTAGCGCGGCACTGTATGGTCATTTTACCCTCCCTCTGACAGGATGCCCCTGTCATTGAGGAATTTAAATGCACTTCCGAACAACAATAATTTCCGTTTAGGTTCTTATCTACACCACGAGATTTGTATATAATGGCAACACGTAATGACTTTACCTGAAATCAGTAAAACTGCAGACAGACCTGACAAACCTGCTCCACCACTAACTTCGTCTGTGGGCATGTATACGCTATCCTATTCCTTTAAAAACTGTCAACATTATGTGTCCAGATAATAAAACAATGCTGAAAGGATTTAAAACAGGGGTGTCAAACCCACAGTTTGGAGGCTAGAATTGAGCTGCCGAAGGGTTCGGTGCAGCCACTTTAATATTTAAAGAAAAATGCACTAATTTCTTGCAAAAGGATGGAAAATTAAAAGTATTTTTACATCTCAGACAAGCTGCTTGAATAATAAAGATTTAAAATACTATAAGTGAAGATTCTGTGACTTTTTACTGTGCACTAATAATTGCCATGACCATGTAATTACAGCCGACTCAATGAATGTATATTAGTGAGACAGATTGATGACATCTCAGGTAGTTCTACCCGAGGCTTGCTCATTTCCTTTAATAGGAAATATTACCTTCTGTTGTTCCGACTTTGCTGCTAGTCCAATTTTAATTTCAGTAAGGTTTCCAGTAACTATTGAAACAAGACTAACCTGATTAAAAACAGTTACAGTTCAATCATTCTCTCTTTCGGCCTCCAGGTTGCGGAAAACAGAAATCAACCTAACTGAACAGATACGTTTCTTCTTCTTTTCCAAAGTTTGTAAGTAATCATGTCAAATAATCAAGATCTCACTATTGATCAAAATAACTGACGATTGATGTGAAGAACATGTGAACATATTTTATTTAACAGCGATAATCCCAAATTCCCCTCTAAGCTAAAGAAGGATACTTCTTTTTATCCCAATAACCCTTAAAGTGACTGATTTCAGATCAGATGCTGTTTTGAGTATTAATCACCTGCCTTTCCTGTCTCTTTAGGGGCTACAGGCTTCATATCAGACTCATAAATAATGGAGAAGAACATGAAAAAAAAAAGGCTCAGAGAATCTCCTTTCTTCCATATTCACACACTTATTACGAGTCTACATTGAAGCTGTACTGACTTTCATCATATTCCACAAAAATCTACCGTGTCACCCTCTCTAGTGACTGAGTTTTCCAGCTGGGCCAGATTTTTTAGAAATGTTTTACAGTTTTGGCTTTTGGATAGGGTAGATAACATTAAGGGTAAAGACTCAGGGAGTATTACATTGCATGAGATGTTTCAGGCTATAATGCAGAGAAAAGAAAGCATGTGGGTTAGATCCTATTTCTGCTTAACTGCTTTCCTTTTTGTTTTTCCAGCAGTTTGGCGCACGCCTTATTGCCAGATTGTGATGATTATTAAAGGTAAAAGCTGGTAAAAGCAGGCAGTCTTGATAATTATAGGCCTATAGCTTCACCCAGCAGACTTCAAGACGGTTGTGTGTAGCTACAAGACTTAAAACTTTAAAAGCAACATGAAGAAATCCAATGCATGCTGAATGCTTCTGAAAATCTTTGTGGGTTTATTGAGTATGATTTAGAATCCCACGCTACCAGTTCCAGCTCAGGAAACGCTGGTACAGATGTGTTTCAATTTAAATTCATAAGTATGAATTCATAAGAGGCCATCAAAACAATGGATAAAATAAATAAAAACTTCAGCTTCCAATTTAGCTGATCTCTCTATAAGACATATACAGATATTTTGACAGTAGTTTCTTTAGATCCTGGTGATAGTTTAAATCAAAAACAAAAAACAAAAACAGGAATGTATCTTTTTTACACAAGTTATTATGTAGGGCTTTAACTAGTATGGACCTATTTGAGTACAAATTGAACTGTATGTGAGTTTGACACCCTTACAATAAACGAAAGGTTTCATCTACTCAAGCATAAAATACATTTGTGTTTATCAAATAGCCATAAACAACGGAAAATTGGCAGACTAGTTTTCCCACTGGTATGCATCATGTCTGGATCAATAAAAACATCCCGTAGTGGAGTCAAAATTGCTTTAAAATTTTATTACAATAAGCTCCGTTCATCTGAACCAAACTCCATTAAGAAATCTGTCAATTTAACGCTCCCTAACATATCGTCAATATGATCAATAATAAATTTTTTAAAAAGGTAAACATTTCGGAAAATAATCGATTAGAGTATCAGACTAGTGCCGAATTCAAGAAAAGCTCCAAATGTTAAATAATGAGTGTGTGAATATTTTGTTTATGTACAGGATACACACAAATTCCAACAAGCAGGGGAAAAACGGGATTTTCTAAATGAAGTGTGACAAGGCACGTGAACACAATACATGACGGGACTAGTCGGCGAAGAGCTGACTGACAGCTGTTGGAAAGAGGAGGAACGCCAATTCATCCCAGTGACAGAAACTCGACGGTTATAAATAACTTATAAACTCTGGGGTGGAGATTTAGGCGGTCAGACAGCAAATCCGACAGTTTCACAGACGTTAGCTCGCTAACTGATTTCGTATTAGCAGAAAGGACATATTTACCATTTTACCGCCGCTGATTTGAGCGTATCCCTACTTCCAAACTTTTCTCCCCAGCAGCAGAGCCAGCTCCGGACATAATCTTCGGGCTCACACTGGCTCCCCTGTGCCGTTTCTCTCCGTGTGAAAATTAACCGTTAACACCGTCTGTGAACCACATGCCATCGGGGTTCCCTCGTCCACTTGATGCTGCTGCTGGAGGCCGACCAACGGCTACAAGTAACGGTGTGGTCCCCTCTCCTAACCAGCCCGCCGCGATAATCTTCCTAAAACCGGCGAGCAGTGGACACACAGCGTGTAACTACGCCCCGCCCACATTTTTACACAGAGGGAGGGGCTGGGAGGCATATCAAATACTCCCACTCTTATTAATTTATAATCCTAAAAAGTGGGCCTCCTTGGTCTACCAGTGAGATCTGCTGGCTCTTTTTTTTTTACTCTCAACAATATCTTTATCAATATTTAATCATAATTAATATCAAGCATAACACAGTCCCAAAAGGAAATAAAGAAAAGTTTTCCTCTTATTCTGGGCTCCTTTATCTAATGGAAATTCTGGCCCAGGAAAACTAGGCCATGGGTCATCAAGTTACAAACAGGCTGCAGGGCACAAATGTTTGATGAAGCCTTTTTTAAAACATAAATAGTTAAAATCCTTCAGACTTTCCCTTATTCATTGGAGATGTTGTCAACCGGCTATTGAGCATGAGAGTGGTCACATGACTCAAAATCATCAGGACTTCCTCCTAATCATCCAACCACATCCAGTAGATTAGTGTCCTTCCCTGAGCCTGCTTCTGTTGGAGATCTCTTCCCGTTACAAAGGAGTTCTTGCTCCCCAGTGTCACCAAGTGCTTTCTCATGGCAAATCAGCTAATTCGAGGGATTTTGTCCCTTTTGAAGTCGTACTCACAGTTGCAGCAACTTGAGAACCCATTTCGGTGTCACATTAAATGATAAAGATTTTTTTCCTTAAAATGTATCATTTTTATGATATCAACATAGTGTTTTTGATCATTTATATGTCTATGTGACAAATATGCTTGTAAACAAATTTTATGGTGAGCTCAGATAAACTTTCCTCCTTCAGCAGATAAATATGTGAAACCCATGACAGAGAGCAACAATCCACAGTAGGAAAATCTACATAAAACATAATTTTGACAGGACGATAAGGGGGCTTTATTCTAAATATAAGCATAACAACAATATACTGATGCAGTTTAATGCACAATATGCAGCAGATCTGCCACATATTCATCAGTCAATATTCATCATCAATCGTCATAGGAAGATTACAATGTGAGTTTTGTATATATACTGTATACAGTATATAATCCAGACCAGCACCACAGCGGCACTAACTTCAATAATTAATGCACTGTATATTCAAATGATTAACCCTGTCAAGGTAGAAATTAGGGTTGAGCTGTTAGATTGATGGGATTAATCTTTTCTTTTTTTTGCCAGTAAAACTGACGTCAGAATGAATCCTCTCCAGATCTGTTTGAAAATATAGAAAACTCCTCTGCTGTGACTAATAGCATGTGTCTGATTTAGTGTTTTACATAAAATGGTTGAAATAACCCATCTGAGCCTCCGTTCCGTATGGAAACCCTACAAATCTATGCAAATATTCTTCAAATGATCAAACAGACTTTATTAATGGTGCATGTGAAGCGTATTTGAGTTATCGCTGGTAATGTACTTGTAGAATACATTACATTGTGAGAGACTGATTGCATATGAGTGTAAAATTATCAGAAAAAATACGTTTCTATGCTGCTCGGTCCTTTCACACTAATAGAAGTTTCCAGTGCAGGATATTCTTACCCTTTGTGAATTTGCCACCTTTAACATGACCTGTGTTTTGCCAAAGTTCTTGTTTACACCTAGTGGAAACACAGTCACATGGATAATGTGATAGACATGACACCGGTTAGATGAATTACTCCTCAAAGGTCTTGGGATTGATTTATGAATGATTTAAAGGCACAGCAGCTCCAGTCTGGCCCCACTGATAAAGAAACCAATTAGGATGATCCGTGGCCTTGTCATGTGATCTGAGCCTACTGATAGTTTTCTGTCAAAGTGGACATTAAGAATTAATCCCTGCAATGTAAGTCCTCTGGCTGGCACTCGACCTCGCCCTGGACCTCCAATCTGGTGAAAAACACACCAGTATCCTTGCGGCATCCCACTCTTCTGTCATTCTTTATCACTTTCTTCTCCCTTATGCGCACATGGACCTGAAGCCTAGTTTATGAGGATGCTGGGTGAGTCAGCGGGCTGTTAATCACCGTGACAAGTGTGTGTGCTGACAGGTTGGACGCCGTGAGGTTCGGTGATTCAGCCTGCAGGGGAGAACACAGCACCTGGCACTGAGGCAGCCTGCAGGCCACGAGCCCCCGTACTGAGGTGCAATGTGTTCCAAACAAATCACATCGCCTTATTTCCACGAGCGTGCACGTGCATCTTGGGGTCGTCATTGTATAGCTTCAGGATGAATCAATCCTGATGCACTTCCACTCCACTTCCCCTGAGTATTGACATACAAAATCCATTTGTGTGAAAAAGAGATAGCAGGCAGAGTTAATTGTGACATTTAATTAGGCACAGATTGGTGGCCTGTTTGTACTTTCGAATTCATTTGATTCAGGGCAAGCTTTATCTACAAGCTCACAAGCCTTTAAATACCATTAAGAGCAGACCTAATGGATATGTCCAAACTTGTGACACTTGCAAGACTGTAACAGAAAAACAGGTTAAGGAAGTGTTTCGATTTACTGCAGGAAAACCTCAAATGTATCCACATGGACACACGCATGCACTCCGTCTTTATCTAAATATCTCCTTTGACTTTTAATAAGTGAGTAATAGAGCTACAAATCCAGTTATGTTTCCAAACCAGAGTCAGGTTACATCATTTTTTAAAACTCCAGCATGTAAACCCCAGAGTTTCATATCATAAAATAATGCAAAACTTATTTTTGTGTCAAGGAAGCAAATATTTACATAATTTCTGCTGTTAATCACAAGATGCCATTGTTCTCTTCCCCCTCGAGCACTGGTCTTCCTGCTTCACTTCCTGCCTCCATCTCAGCTGGGGTATAACTTTAACCTCTGATGTACCAGAAACCTCCGGTACACTGATAACAGTCTGCGCTGTTTACTGGAGGTGAGTCTTTGGATTGCTTGGGTGAAGCAGGTTCCAGTGAGGCTTTTCAGGAACTGACTGAGGTCAGAAAATGATGCAGCCGCTCTGGAATGTTTAGCCGATGTGGTCGTAAAGTTCTAGTATTCCGCTGGTAGTTGTGGAATGTTTAAATTATGGGCGGATCAGGCTGTTCACATGAGATTAGGCTGTTCTCAAGAATGAGTAAAAACTGGGCTCAGAGTATTCTCTTGAAACCATTGTCTGTAGAAACCATGCGCAACCTGACAGCTCGCCCAAAATGTCTATCGCCCCCTGGTGACTGGCTGCAGTAAAGGTCATAAACCCTGCCCCTTTTAAAGATGCCTACTGGCATTTACATCAGTCATCACATTGATTTGGGTTCAAGGGGTCATTTTTCCTCTCAGTTTGTTTTTAATTAGTAACTTGGTGCTCTAAAATTGGGGTATAGCTTCATGATGAGTGGCAGCTGCAGTAATGGAAAAACTTGCACATTTTTATTCAGCATTTCCAGACAGAGTAGGGTCACTGAAGGAGATCACAGCTGTCTGTTTCAAACTGAGAGTGTGAGTTGTTCTCTAGCAAACTGGACTAACCAGTACAAGGGCCTGAGGTACTGCTGCACTTTTATGTTAAGTTAAATATGGGATTTCTAAGCTAATCAATAAATTAACATCCTTAGCTAGCTAGCTCAAACCAGAAATATAAGGTTGCTTTCAACTCATTGCATATTGTAGTTAGTCAGGATCCATTGGCATCACATTTTATTTCACTGGGCAGTGCTTCAGTGCAACTCTTTAACATAAGGGTCTTCACATCTAAAATAGATTACATTACAGTTAAATCCCTTCTTGCTTTATAACTATTGTAACTGTAGTAAAGACTAAGTAAAGATGAAAAAGTTGCAGCAGAAGGTGAAAGTTTACCATGTATTTTGTGTATTTTGAACCAAACCATATCATTTAATATACCTAACCACAGTTTTGGTCCCTAACCACACAGGAACTCAAAAAGTTGAAATATTGTTGTGCTAGACAGGTCAGAAACTCCTGTCCTGTGGGTGGAAGTCCTGTGATCATTGTCACCGTCATACTTTCTTACGGAGACTTTGAATTTGCTTTTTAAACTGTTAGCAGTCGGACGTACCGCCCACGGGACATTGGATGGTTTAGGGGACTAATAGGACTGCTAAGGGGTTAATACTTGTGGAGAACCACCCTACATGTCAAAATAATAAAATGTGTGATGCCAAGAGAATCTGACCCATCTACAGTACGTGATAAACTGAGAATAAGAATACGTCTCTATTCTACTTTCCACAGCAACAGTCAGCTCGGTGTTACGTGTGCTTCAGCTGAATGATACTCATTAGTTTACCCACTGTTAGTACTTATTCACCCCCAATAACTCAAGGGCATTTAATCACTGTCACAAGAAGCAATATAAGAAAGATGCAACTCCCACTGAAAACTGCCACGTCAACACAATACAAGAAAATCAACACTATCATGAAAACGAAGGTCTACCACAACATCTTACTGCAACATGAAATCCCTTGTGCCCTGAACCTGTCATAGCGCGGTGCGCTGGTGTGTTAGTTAGAGCAGGCCAAGAGCAGACAAAGGCAAGGAGACGTGACATGACTTAACAAAAGGCGAGCCTTTATTATGGCTGATGACAGAAGGCAAAAACAAAAGCTAAGACGAGTGCAGGCAAGACAACTAAACTGGAAAACAGACTAAGAAAAACCCATGAAACTGAGATAAAGCTATGAAACTTCAAGAACTAATTCTATGACTGTGAGAACTGTGCCGACTATGACGAGGCATCACTGGGAAGGTTACACAGATGACGTGACACAGACTGAATGAAACACAGAGACTAAATACACATAAGGGATGATCAAGGGAAGTGGCCACACATGGGAGCACAGCTGACACACATGAAACTAATGACTGGATAGGGGAAGTGAAACTAAATACAATGGAACAAAGAACAGAGGACTCTTTCAAAATAAAACAGGAAACATGATGAGACAGACCAAACAACATGGGATGACAACATGAAACATGGAACACAAAGGGCAAATGAGACTAAGATCCAGTGGAAGGAGAAATGAGGAGATCCAATAAACAGAACTAAGGCTGAACAACTTAGGGGTTTAAGAGAGCTAGATGAGCTTAACCCAAACAATAAATGACAAAACACAAAGACTCAAGTTCTAACTGACAATGCAAAAGCAACTTAACATTTTCCCATACTAAAAACAGAAATACACAATATATAATGAACTCAAAATGCTGGGTCACAGACCCAGCCATGACAGAACCCAATTGGTCTTGGGTTCATTTACCAACAAGACAATGACCCAATTATACAAGCCTTTGGGAACAGCTAGAAAGTATCTAGAGTTTAATATCAAAATAGAAACTATTGAAACGCCCATAAAAACTGCTGTTATCAAGGCCAAAGGAGGCCACACAAAATGTTAAATGTTAGTTGGTTAATGTGTTTTACTAAGAATCATTTAGCTTTTCTGGTATAGCAATTCTGGTATGGTCTACCAGAGAAGAGCAGCACATCCTGATAGTCTTGTCATTGTTTTGAAATTTGGTTTTCAACCCTGTACCACACTGGTGACTTGACTGACATTAATGCTAGCACAGTATGTCACTCGATCCCTGTATAAACGCCTCCAGCGTTAATGCCCATTACTTCAATGCCAGTAAAATTGACGTCAGAGCTAATATCAGTTCCCATACCTCACTGTCATGTAACCTCTGTCATACAATGAGCGTATGAGAATGTGACAGACGGAGGGAGAAAGCGAGAGAGGAAACTGGGAGTTAAGTGACACACAGCTGTCCTGATTCGGCCTGATTATTGCTACGTCTCTGAGTCAAACAGGAAGGGAAACTTTCCGCAGAGGAGACTGAGAGCTCTCAAATGTGACTCTGTGAGAAGAAACGTCTATTTGCTTCTCCATTTCCTTTGTTCCTCAAAAGATATCGCTGACATACAGAGACACACACTTTTATATACTCTCAAATCACATAATGTTTCAAAAAATGTATTTTTCAACACCAAAGAGAAATGAAGCATGTGAGTATCATGCCAACTAACTGATACCATATCTCCCAGAGCTCCAGGAATAAAGACATTAAGTGGAGAGGATTTCATTAAGATCTTGAATAATTCACAGCTATGATTCCCATCTAATGTCTGGTATCGCTGTTACGCAGAACAGATAATGTGTTCATAACTGTCAGATGGGAATGTGGCTACATCCAGACGAGCAGAGGCAGGAAGCTGCAGGCCACTGCTGTGTGCATCACTTATCTTTTCTCCAAGGTGTCAGGAGGAAAAAGCGGAGAGCGAAGACAGTTTAATTGAGCGCTGATTAAAGTTTAATTGATTCATTTCAGTCTGAATCTATTAAGTAGGATGGAGATGCACACAGATTTCTCTTGAGTAGCTGGAGCAATGAAGTTGGACACATTTTCCTTCACAGTGATTGATATGCAGCATTTATATGGCTGCTTGTGCACAGATGGGTGACAAATTAAAGGCATTTTAAAAAAGCAGTGTTTGACCCCTGCAGCGAGGAGATATGCTGTCCCTGTCACGCTCTGAGAGACATCCTAGTTTTGGTCTTTTATGTTAGAGGGAAGCCAATCCTTTTTATACTGATAAGAGTGATCTCTTCCAGGATAACATTCATCGGGAATAAATGGTAACAGAAAGGCTTGATGAGGATGATGCGATTTGTGTGCTCTAACCAAATCTCGACCCTACTGCAAACACATGGGAGATTTTGGACTGATCCGTTATTGAGCTCAGTGCACAACAGGTGGGTGAAATGAACAAATATGTGAGTCTTTATTTGGCTTTTAATTAAAAACCAATAACACAAAGTCCAAGGGATGGAAGAACTAAATACGAATTCACAGAAGGAAGAATAGATAGAGGAGGCAAGTGAATGCTTCACATCACTCACAATATTGTCTGCTTTACTCCACACACTGTCCCTATAAATGCTTTGCCTTGGCAATGCAATTCCCAGCAACTTTCTTTTTCTGTGCCTCAGAAGCATTTCCAAACTCAACCTTCTGAGCAAATAATAAAATCACGAAATAACACACCAAACCAAAAAGACTTGTGGCTGGCAGAAATGCTTTTTTTCCCATGTGGTGGCAACAAGCTTGCATAAGGTGTGGGAAATAAGCTTAAAACAATCTCACAGGGGGAAAGATGGGACTGTATATACGTCAGGCTGTTTAGACACGGGTCAAACCAATCAGGGCAGGGTACAAAACGACATACAAGAAAAAAGCATTTTATCAAAATAAAACGAGAAGTAGAAATAAGGTAGACAAGGGAGCTAGACAAAGAAAAAGACACTGGGAAAATATGGACACAAGAATGAAGATCTATGAAGCGAAATCAAAATATAAATAGATTAAAAGAAACCAGGACCATGAAAGTTGGACCCCACTTATCATGAGAAACACACAGTTAGGGACTAACTTTTGATCGACTGGTGTTATTTCCCACAGCAGTGTTTGTTTTTGCACTGGCACTGAAACCTTTTTTGATTTATTTGAAAATGAATCTTTACATCAGGTCTTTTATGCAGGACATACTGCGCTGGTGACTCACTGTTACCAGAGATTTGCACTGTCCAGTAAAGCAGTAGCTGCCACAAGTACAGGTTGTTCAACAACGCAAAACAGCATTTTTCAAGCTTTTATGCATTTAGCAAAGTGAGAACATTTGTTGCGAGTCTTTAATTGGCACAAAGTCTTCAGATCTTACTTAGGAGCACCGTTTCATTGTGGATTACAAATCGGAGCAGGATGTAGATTAGAAAGTGCAGAACTGTCAATTACAGAAAGTAATTCTCCAAGTATACCAAGGCAGAAGAGGAAAACACACAAACATTCTCTGTAGCTGACTTCTCGTATTTTAAGTGTGATGAGATATTTTGACTAGAAACAAGACAAATATACTTGATAAGATTTTGAGTTTTTGCAGTGTACCCCCCCCTGACTGAGATCCTGCACTGCATAAACAGTTATACTTGAAACAAGCCAAATATTCTTAAATCTGACAAAAGTTTCTTGTTTTGAGAAGAAAAAAAATCTGCCAGTGGGGTGAGCAAAAGTTGCTTGACTAATAATAATAATAATAATAATAATAATGGATTGGATTTATATAGCGCTTTTCAAGGCACCCAAAGCGCTTTACAATACCACTATTCATTCACTCTCACATTCATACACTAGAATGACTAGAATTGTTAAAACTAGCAAATGAATCTATGCCTTTTAACTAGACAAAACTATCTAAATGTTATGCTTAAATGAAGAAAATTTGACTTATTACAAGGAAAGAGACTGAATTGTTTCTTTCTCGATTGAGTTAAATATAAGAATTAAATCTCAACTCTGAGAACAATAATTAGAAAAAAGTGCTGAGAATAAGACACCATCTGTTCAAAAAGCTACAAAAAAATATGGGACTTTATCCTAAAGCAAAACACCAGAAGCACTCTTATTTTTTGCACTTTTATTGACACAGCAATGGGTCAGTAACTCAACTTTAACAGTACTGAGGTCTAATTCCAGGAGACTCATGTCTAACATTACCTACATTTGAGCAGGGTGTAACATGGCCACTGTAAGAAGTGCATATTCCACATACTCTTAAGAGGAATAATAACAGTGTAAAATACTCATGACTAAATGTATCAAACATACATTTTGCTCTTACTTCACATTTTAATATTTTTAATGATAACATTATTAGGTTTTTAATGTCCCTTACTGCAGAATAAAGATTTCTTATGAAAGTTTGGTTTTGTTTTGTTTTTATCTTTAGCTCCATTCTAAGAAAATGACCAGTTTCAAGTGTCCTCAGTGTAGGACACATACAGGATG